AGACACATAGTCCAGAGAACTGTGTATAGAAGAACAAAGAGAAGAAAGTCATAGGTGATAAGTTTTCAGGAGAAGATGCAGTATTGATCATTTTTCTTTGTATAAAAATGACTAAACATGGCTTTGTTTAGGTATGTGGTAAGATAACAGCTGTTATTAGCAGACTGAAAACAATTTTAGACTTTTACATACAATTTTGTCATTACCTGTTAAAATGTATTTCAATCCTGTCCCAGAAAGTTTTTATCAGCACCAAAAGCATGCTAAGTCATGAGTTGAAAGTACCCAGCAGAAAGAAATGTTTAATGTGCACACTAAGTCATTGTTTTGAAGGGGCAATACCTAAAGTCTAGCTTGAACAGATTTATAAACTATGGGAAGGCACTGTGGCCAAAAGAAGGCTTTCTCAGCAAGAACATCAAACTGTGGATGTAAGCCCTGAGGCAGTGTGCTCCTACAACCAAGAACCTGCCTTTAAACATCTTTACATCTCGTCTAGGACCCAGAATGAAGTAAATATTCAATAAACACCCACTGATCCCAACTCCTAACTTATATTTCCCTTTCCTGCTCTGCCACAAGAATGCAAATGATTCGAACATGGGATGGGGATGTGGCTTAAGCGGTAGCGCGCTCGCCTGGTATGACGCGGCACTGGGTTCGATCCTCAGCACCACATACAAATAAAGATGTTATGTCCACCGAAAACTAAAAAATAAATATTAAAAAATTCCTTCTCGCTCTCTTTAAAAAAAAATGATTCGAACAGCTTCTGGGAGGATTTTCTCTATTCAAATTTGTTTTTTAAAAAAGGCTATTTCTTTATTAATCTTAAAACTTTCAGCCAGGCACAATGGTGCAAGCCTATAATCCCAGCTACTCAGAAGGCTAAGGCAGGAGGACCTAAAGTTTGAGCCAGCCTCTGCAACTTAGCAAGACCTTGTCTCAAAAAAATATAAAAAGGGTTAGGGATGGAGCTTGGTGGTAGAGCACCTTGGGTTCAATCCCCAGTACAAAAAAGAAAAAAAAGAAGTTTTAGAAAAAGACTTTCAAAAAATGAAGAAAATCAGAACCATAAAGACAAAAACACAAAGATAAATATAATTTTCACAGAAAAATTTATACTTCTTTATGTCAAAAAAGTAAACAAGATAAAAATAAAACAATTATTATTTGTAAGCCAAAAAATAAATCATTTTTAAAAAGAAAAAAGCAGAAAATAAAACTAGAATAACTTCTTTAAAATATGGAATTTTTTTTTTTTTACAACCTAAATAAACTATACTGGAACAGTCTCTAAGGTAAATACTATTCAGTAACTTACATACTTAAAAGGGGAACTAAAATCACATATGTTTGTATAAACACAAAAAGATAGCAGCCAATGTTACCTCTAAGAAGAGCAACTGATACTCTAGAATGGAGACTTTTTTTTCCATTATCTATCTTCTTATATTGTTCACATTGTTTACTATGGGTAATATAACTCTTTTTAAAAACACATCAAAACAGTTGGTTGGTTCTCATGAGGGTTTCTGAATTAATGGATATAAAATGCTTAAGCACAATAAGCAATATAGAAGTATTTAGATTCTGTATTTTGTATAGCATGTACACGTACATTCACACATATATACATTATGTTTTTACAAATTAACACAAGGGAAAAAGAAAATATTACAAAAAATAAGCAAAAAAAGCCGGGTACAGTGATGCATACTGTAATCCCAGCAGCTCGGGAGGCTGAGGCAAGAGGATCAAGAATTCAAAACCAGCCTCAGCAATGGCGAGGCGCTTAGCAACTCAGTGAGATCCTGTCTCTATATAAAATACAAAATAGTGCTGGGGATGTGGCTCAGTGGTTGGGTGCTCCTGAGTTCAATCCCCGGTACCAAAAAATAAAAATAAAAAATTAGCAAAGAATATGAAACATTAATTCACAGAAAAAATGGTCAATAAATAAGTGGCACGTTCTCAACTTCTCTCATAGACAAATGCAAATAAAAAATTGGCGGGAGGCTCAGGAGGGGCTTTCAGATTTACAAAATTTAAAAGGACTGACAAAATCAAGAAGCTGAGGGGAGAATGAAGGAACTTTGGTTTGTGTGGAGGGGAGTGAGGAGAAGGGAGGGGGGCTATGGAGGTGGGAAGGACAGCAGAAAGAGACAGACATTATTACCCTATTCACATGCATGATTACACTACTGGAGTGATTCTGCACCATGGACAGCTACAGGAATGAGAAGTTGTGCTCCATTTGTGTACAATATGTCCAAATGCATGCTATTGTAAAATAAATTAATTAATTTTTTAAAAAAGAAGCAGCAGCAGCTGAGGGGGAGACAGGAACTCATATATTGCTAATTGGTGAGAATGTTAATCCTCTCATGAACATCCCACTGGTCCATTAGATCCATACCAAATTTAACCCAAGTAAATACTGAAGACAAGTAAGAGGAATAGCCCCAATCTTTAGCAATGTAAAATAGCTAAAACTGCAACAAAAATACCTGAAATTTTTCTGGTTTCACAAACCAGAGAATAGAGTTTGGGGTAGCCAAAGCTACTAGAAAATAAAAGGGAGATCCCAGGAAGTCTCAGATTCTCTGCATAAACTCAGAGTTTACCAACTCAGAGCTTGGCCAACACTGAACCATAAACGGACAAACTGCTATGTAGTTCCACTAATGCTAAAAGAAATGATAGTTTGTATTGCTACCTACCACAGGAAGGACAGAATCTGCAGTTGGAGGTCAATCAATTCAACTACTTCAAAAATAACAATACTAAGGACTGGGATGTAACTCACTGGTAAAGCACAGCTCACCCAGCATATATAAGGCCCTGGGTTCAATCCCCAGTAAGGCAAAAAATAAATAAGTAAGTAAATATATAAAAAATTCTCAAAAAAAAAACAGAATTGAGACATCTAAATTATATCATTTGTAATGTATAGAATAAATTTAAAAGTAGTCTAACACAGCAAAACACTATCCATTGTCAAATGAAAAAGAAGAAAAATCTAGAGAGATAATACATAAGATGTCCTTGATATTGATTTTAGCAGGAAAAAAAATTTAAAGCAGCCTGTAACATCTAGGCTCAAGTAAAATGTCTGTAATGAATGAAAAGATCGGAAATCCCAGCAGATAAAGAAAAACTATACATTCTAGAATTTAAAAGTCTGGAATTAAAAATTCACCATACAGCAAAAGTAGAGATAACAAAATCAAGCGTTATAACCTGAAGACAGATTCATAAAAATTATCCAGCGTGAAAAACAGAAAGCAAAAAACTGGGAAATAAGATAAACAGAGTGCCTCTGGGGCCTTGAGACAGAACCAAAAAGTCTAACGTAAATCACTAAAATCCCAGATTAGAAGACAGAATGGAGAGAAAAAAAGTATTTTAAGAGTAATGACCAAATACTTCCCAAAGTTAATGAATAACATAAATTTATACATTTCAGAAACACAGCCAACTCCAAGCAAGATAAATTAAAAGGAAAACAAACCTAAGTACTTCATACTCAAACTGATAAAAAAAAACCTAGAGAGAAAATGTTGAAGGCAGCCATGAATATTACCTATAGGGGGAGAACGGTTTGAATTACCACTGACATCTTGTCTGGTTCTAGAAAAAGCCAGCTTCCACGTTGAGGAGCCCAGGACAAAGAACCAGCATGTCTGGCCAACAGGCAGACAAACAAGGATCTGAAGCCAGACACAGCTACCATAAGCTTGGAAGAAGGTGTCTATTGCAAAAATGCCCAAGAGAAACCCACTTAACACTCTGCAAAACTGAATGTGAAGTCTATTTTGACCATAAAGAACCTGTTGGACAGTACCGCGCACCTATCCTTCCCCTTTCCTTAAACTCTCTAAGTTCTTTAATGAAAATAAACATAACCTGTAATTCCAGCAGCTCTGGAGGATCACAACTTCAAAGCCAGATTCAGCAAAAGCAAGACTCAGTGAGACCCTATCTCTAAATAAAATACAAAATAATGCTGGAGATGTGGCTCAGTGGTTGGGTGTCCCTGAGTTCAATCCTGATACCAAAAAGAAAATAAACATGATAGTTTACTTTCTGAAGAGAGGTCATACACAATTCTTACCAATTTAAAGATTCTTATTACAGTATCGTAAGAAAGATAGGAAATGTGCCTTCTCTTTTCAAGTGGAATTTTCAATTGATGTGAAGGAAATTACCTAAGATCAGGCAAATTTATCTGAGGTCATGAGGTTACTGGAAATACTAACAACACTCCTATGCTTCTATTCCTAATTTCCAAATCTTTACCTCCCCCTCAAAATCCAAAATGGTTAAGTACATTTAGAATTAGACTATAAGTGAAAAGAAAATACTAGTTCCTTCTTTGTCTCATCTCAAATCCTGAATCAGAAACCATCTTATGAAAAACATTCAGAAACCCTGCAATTTAATTACAGAATAGATACAAAAAGAAAGGCTTGAAAGCAGCACACTTCATTTCCTTTCTTTTACTTTTTCAGACACTAGAATCACAACACTTAATCTGAGGTTCCACTTCCTAGTCCCTCTCTATCCCTGACTTACCCTGAGGTTCCAAGTCAATCACATTCTTTGGCCTAAAAAAATGAGACAGCAAAAAATGAGAATGGGGAGGGAAAGAGATATACTAACAGAAGAAAAGAAAAAAAGATGCCTACATGTTAGAAAGAGGTTCTATCGCAATCTGCATCTTATTTCCCTTCAGTGACAATTATATCTTAAATTTGAATAGGACTTTAAAAGTTTTTCAAAGCATTTTCATATCTATTATTGCCAGTCTGTCCTCTTTCATTCCAAAAAGAAGCATGAAAGGTACAAATAACAGGGCTTCGTTTGACAATGAAGTACTGGTAGGCTAAGAACTCAATCTTCTCAGGGGGTCAACATGTTATAAGCTTTCTAATTTGTAAAATGTATAATTATAAAATATGACAAATACAAAAAATTTTTAAGTTTGATTTCCTTACCTGAAATTGGCATGCACATTTCAAACCATCTCCATCTTCTTTACAGACTCCTCCATATTTACACGATGATTCATCACAAACTCTTACATCAGACTCCCTCACATTTAATTCTGCAAGAAAGGAAAAAATTGTTTTATATGTATATATTTGGCTTTTTTTAAATCCAGATGTTCATAAACAAAAGAGCAAAGCCTTGAAATGTGTTGGGCATCCCATTCACAAGTATAACAATTAGACAATACACAAAAAGCAAGTTCTATAGAATGCAAAATGTTCAGTACACCCCAGAGAAGCTTAATGACATGTCAAAAAGACACCCACCCCAAACTTGAAATTTCAGGATTTAACATAATCCCCAAAGGTAAATCTATGGAATATTTCTATTTTGGCTGCCAACTCCTTACAATAATCTTCTTACTATTGTTTTAATATTTTAGATTATTTTTCTAGTGAGTAACTTATTTTAAATGATAACAAATAAAAACAATTAGAAACAATCTTCTCTTGGTAGTGAAAATAAATTTAAATGATCATTCTAGACAAATTAACAATTTTAACTATGAATTATGAAGTGAACTTGGATTTTGTAATATGTATATATACGTATGTATATATAGAGAGAGAACATTTATGTATACAGAAGAGATTAAAAATCTTCATATACTTAAAACTTAAATGCCTGATTTAAATTTGCTTTACCACAGGAAGCAAGTCAAATCAAAATCACACATCATTCTATGATGATTTTATTCCTGCTCCAATACTGTCAGTCCTGCACTGAAAGCATCATATTAAGCTTTCTCTGAAAGCAAATAAATTGCTTCAGGGTTAGTGCTAAGTTGCCAATCACATGGAATTGGGTGAAAATCTCTACAATGCCATTTTCATATCCTCCTATTAGGAATTTGAGCCACAACAACAAATGCACTTCTGCAAAGAAAAAAACAAATGATTTTGTTGTTGCTGTTGTTGTTTTAAATCCCACTACAGTTGTGATAACATGGATCTGGGAGCAGGGAGGCCCAAGTTCACCTGAGACTACTGGTCAGCAGCTGAGTAACTCAGAAAAGTACAAGGTCTCCTGCATTCTAGGTCTTCATGAAGGTCTGGCAAACATTTCACGGAGTACCCCCAAGATATCCCCCACCCATGGTTATTTTCTATTTCTAGATTTCAAAGTAGGACTCAAGGAATGGGTCAAGTAGAGTCCAGTGTCTAGGGACATCTACCTTAGTGACATTTCATTGACCTCACTGATTCACTGGTTCTCACTGCTCTGCAATGGCGTCTTGGGTCTGACACTCCTAGGAACTGACAATCAAGTACCTAAATACACAAGGAATTGACCGGCAACCATAGTCATGTGTGAACCAACCACCCTGAACCAAGCACTACACTAGAGTAAGCACAATTTACCTAACTGTGGGTTGCGAGGGTTTTTTTGTTTTGTTTCTTTTTCTTAAATGGATCTCAAGTGCACAGAATTGGATTACTCTAAGTTCAAGCATCTGCACTTAAAATAAGAGCTAGCTTATACAGCTGTTTTGTTATTCTGTTTCACAAACCATTCTAGGTACAGGAGATGCTTTCTTAATTTCTTCTGGCTCTGGCTATGAAAGTGTTAGGCCCTTGGTCCTCCTCTCCCAATACTTGCTCATTGTCCTGTTTCCCTCTTGACCATGTGCTTTAGCTATTGAGGCTCCTGAGGCTCCATCCTAAGCATAGGGGTTTTTTTCCTATCTACTCACACTCCTGCTAGGAATTTAAACAAGATCCAGTTCCAAACACTATCAAATAAACAGCTTCAGACTCAAGGAAAGTAACTAAATATTAATTAAAGATCTACCCTAGAAAAGAGCATAAAAGTGCATAATATCTTTGCTCAACTACAGATTTAACCAAGTTCAAAGGCCACAGAAATAAGAATTGCACAATTTAACAAATAAAACTTAGTGTATTAACTCTTCTTTCCTTCCTTTAGAGGCCTAAAATTCACACTGAGTTCAATTACAATCTATAACACAATTAGATATAAAAGAAAAAACAAGAATAACTGAAGTTTTTAATATTGTCTCTGAGTCAAGATGGAGCTTAATCATAGGTTGCTACCTTAGCTTAAGATTCTTTTGAGTTATAATATGTTCTTCATGCTTTTATTTCACAGTATAGTGGATTGCATGCTAGAGAGGACCCAAACCATCCCTGCCACTAAGATTCACACATTTAGTGACCTCTCAAGATGGCCAGGCAAATGTTTGCCTGAAGGACTAAGGAATATTTTAGGAGAATGATCTTCCTCACCAAAGTGAAGCAGAAAAGCTTGGTCCAATAAACAAAGTCTTGAACAGAGGCAGGGATCTGAGGCACATTGTGGCATCTATCTATCACTTAGACTGCTCGCCCAGATCAGACCCAAGAGCTCATCATGACATAGACAGATGGGCTACAATAAGAAATTAAAGAATGTCTTGTCTGAAGTGACAAGACATAAAGACCTCTGCTTTGATGCTTACATGACAAGTTATAACAGAAGTGAGACACACGGGGGGCTGGGACCCACAACCGAGCCTGAGTATCTACAGCATACGTGGCAAAACACAAGGCCAAGAAGAAAAGTAGTGTCAGGCAAAGAGTTCCAATGCTGATAGCTGGAAGGACATGCCAATGCATACCTGTAGGGGCAGCAAACATCACACGAAGGAAAGAACAGCTGCGACGTGACAGAGGCCCAGGGAAACACCCTTTGGTGACACTAAAGAAGGGAGGCATTTATGAGGGAGCTAGAGATCTGCTATGGTTTGAATGTGTCCCCCAACAGCACATGCGTTGGAACCTAATTCCTCAGGGCAGCCTAGTGGGAGGTGTCTAACTCATGGGGAGGGAGCCACATGAATGAATAATGCCTTTCTGAAAGAAATGGACTAGCTATGTCAGAAATTAAATCCCTTTTCTTTTTTCTGCACATGCTCACATGCCTGTCTGCTTTCTACCATGAGGTAGTACAAGGCCCTCACCAAATGAAATAGCCAGATTTCTCAGCCTTTAGAACCATGAGCCAAAATAAACATTTTCTTTATAAATATACACAATCTCACGTATTCTGATATAGCAACAGAAATGGACTAAGACAAGGTACTATTATCAATAAGAGTAAAAGTTATGAAATTCTGATTACTCTGGCTACTAGTTATATCTTATTTTATGTCTATCTTGCAATCAAATACTGTTATTTTCATGTGTTCATGTGTTAAATATGATTAATTGATCAGAAAGAATTTATTAAGCATCTACTATGTACCTAATTACTATGCTAAGAATTTGGAATACACAGGAAAATATATAACAGGAGGCTTATGATCCTGCTACCATATGGAACAATTAGTGATGATTTCAATATAGTGAATAATTAAGGGGATAAATGGGTAGTACTGTCTATAATTTCTCTAGGAGTTTCAAGAAGTTGAGGATAAAAAGGGATTTGAAGCATAGGGTGCAGAGACAGAAAAGGCGAGAACTTGCATTGACTTGAAATTTTAACAAGGTTTTTTTTTTTTTCTGATAATAAAACATAGATAATTATAAAGAACTTAGAAAAGATGTTTAAAAAGAAAATCATCTTAATTGCCCACAACATGTAATATTAAGATAGAAAAGAGAATTTTTTTAATGTACAAAAATTATGTAAGTGAAAGTAGAGACAAAGTAATTTAATAGTATGCAAAAATAGTATTAATGCTGTGGTTCTCAAACCATGTTCCTTGGGAAAACTGTTGTCCTAGACTAGGATGTAAACTTCATTAAAATCAAGAGTTTTATTTGCTCATTTGCAATAAGAAAAAAGCAATGGATTATATATGAATACACATCCAGTATAGCTCCACGTAATGTATAACCACAAGAATGGGAAGTTATGCTCCATGTATGTATAATATATCAAAATACACTCTGCTGTCATGTATAACTAAAAAGAACAAATAAATTGATTTTTTTAAAGCATTGGAAAAAAATGGTCTCATTTCAAGGAAGTTTTTATTTCACTTTTATTTCTTAAACCTTCAACAGCTGATAATACCTCTTTACCAGCTATCAATAAAATGTTCAACAAATAAAGAATGTTTCAGAAAAATTCCAACAGTTTTATAAGAACAAGGTCATGAATATACATCTTAAATTCTTAAGTTGTTTTATACTTGTGGCCACCACTAATTACCTTCCTCTTTTTTTTTTTTTTTTTTTGGGTGCTGGAGATTTAACCCAGGAGCACTTCACCACTGAGCTATATCCCCAGCACTTTTTGATTTTTTTTAATTTGAGACAAGGTCTCATCAAGTTGCTTAGGGCTTTGATAAATTGCTGAGGATAAACTTCAACTTGTGATCCTCCTATTGTGAGCCAGGATTACAGGCAGGCACAACCACACCCCACTATTCACCTCCCTTGAATCTAAGCTCCCCATCTTTCTGAGTAAGGAAACCCAGCTAACTAATCTGTACTTCTCAGCCTCCCTAACTCTGTGCCACAGCTCATATATAAGCAGTGTCCCATCCTCTTTCATTCTTCATTTTTTTTCCTGACAGAACATACCTACATGCTAAGATTGGAATAGATGGAAGGTAGAGATCAAGATGATAGGTTCAGGAAGACAGGAGAGCAAGAGGGTAGGAGAAGAATCATGGAATCACCATACCTACTGTGGACTCAATCCTCCAATTATTGTTGTAGGAAATAAATGAATGATAACATAAGACAATAAAGCCATCATCGTATAAGCCACTGTTGGTCAGGCTGCCCTGATGTGGTGAAACACAATCCACTTATAATAATCACACAGATTTAATTAAGACAAACATTTCTAAGCAAGAGTTGACAGAATTTATGCTACATTGAAATCCACATTTATGAATTCATCAAGAGACTTCCTGGTACTCTGCCTCCCAACAACTGTGAGAACCAATACCTTAGCTCAAACTCACTACAGAAGAAATCTATTCAGGGATCATCTTCTGAATGTTTCAAGTATTCTGTACAATACCAGGCATCCAGAGGGCACTCTGCTATCTGTCCATGATGACAATTACATACCTGTCTTCTACAGCCAAAAACAGAAATT